GACAGAATGCCCTGGAAGGTTCTATGACGACTATTTGCTTGACGCACGTCTTGTTGATGAAGATTTAAAAGAACCGGGGGGTCGATGTTGCACAGCTTGAAGAAACGCAGCGGGGGTCGGGGACGCAGCCCTCCATTTGCAAACAAACAGATTTTTTGTATGATGAGTTATGTAAAACTCTAAAACAGTTGTGTGCTCGGAGCACGTCTTGTTCCTGGTGCGATGTTCTTGAGAACAAGCCTGAACGGCTTAAAAAGAAAGCGGGCGGGTCGGGGGTGGCGCAGCCTCCCCCATATGAAAACACAACGTCTTCATCACGGGTTGTGAGAGCTGCACGATGATACTTGAAGCGATCTTGCGCAACATAACAAAACGTGAGTAGCAGTAGCAGTAGCAATAGCAGCAGTAGTAGTAGTAGTAGTAGTAGTAGTAGTAGTAGTAGTAGTAGAGCAGTAGTAGCAGTAGTAGTAGTAGTAGTAGTAGTAGTACTAGTACTAGTACTAGTACTAGTACTAGTACTAGTACTAGGGTCCGCCCCGCCCGTTTGCCCACCGCCAGGTCGTCACGACATCCGCTGTTTCGGCTTCGACGATGGTTTACGGTTTACGGTTTAGGGGATGAAATAGAAGATAGTCCATACGCTATCTCCGGCGTCGTTCATAAGATAAAGCGCATAACAGATATTGTGTTCCTGTCTATATATTCAAGAAATATGTTGTTCATATGATATCGTTCGATGCTCCTTTGCACGAGTAGGCTCGCCATGCATAGCTTCTAGTTTCGGATAATCCTCTACTTTTTTGGTCTGGCCTCGGCTTACGTCCGGGTTTTCTGGGGTTTCTGGCTTTTTGGTCGGGTCTTGGTCACTGGGGTGGCTGCTGTGGTGTAGAGGGGGATAGCAAGCCCATGGCCCGCTCCCGATCGCCGGTGTCTCGAATGCCAGCAGCATTCGAGCCGATGATTTCGCCGGTGTGTCGAATGCCTTCAAACTTCGACACATTCTTTGAGCCTTTGACAAAAGAAGAGCAGCGAGCATGGCGTTCCCTGGAAGACAGTTCCTTTCACAGCCTCTCCCAGGCTGACAGTTCCGTGGTTAGCATGTCCGAGGGGGAGAGTTCTCTGGACGCAATCTCCGACGTCTCCGAGGGTGACAGTTCTGTGGACGGCATCTCCGAGAGCTCGCCGACACAAAGGTCCAGCAGGACGGCCATGCCAGCGTATGTTCGAGAACAGTTGATCGAGGAGAATCAGCTGTATGAGGTCTCGGTGCCTTTCTTTGAGACTGCACAAAAGAAGTTCAAATGGGGAGGCTGCCCCTACCATCCGAGACGATCTCTACAACCTCATCTCATAAAATCCGGACCTCGTGTCGGCGTCTTGTGCCTGCGCTGTGCGCAGCACTGGCCCCGAAATGGGCAGCCCAAGTGCTTCTTTTCACACGCTTTCCCAAAGGGCCTTTTTGGGAAGCTGCCGCAGGAGTTGAGAGCTGCCTATGCTTCCTTAGACTTCTCACTTCATCGGGGCTCACGTGGGGGAGGTTTGCGTGCCGCTTAAAAGCGCAGCGACTGAGCATGTTCTAATGTTTGAGCCTCCTCAGACTCTTGCCATGTCGCAGTGCCCGTGTGCTGTCTGCCAGGGACAGGGTTCGCGAGCATGACCTGTAGCTCCGTTCTTGGCTCCAGGGACTTTGTTGTGGCTTGAACAGGGGTCGCTACAATGAAAGGTTCCTTGAAAAATGGGGTTGCCACTGCCAGATACGCTTCTGGCAGAAAGAAGCCGTTGTCCAGGAAGTTCGCGAAGTCCCAGGGCGTTAACTCTGCCTTCCACAAAGCTGGCATCCGCTACTCCGCCAAGGGTGCCTTCGCATCACGCTCGGCGCACAAACTGCGAGATCTCAAGCAGCTGAGTTTTCCGGATTTGTGCGGTTGGTCGGAGAAGCGGTGCCAGGCTGCTACACTTTTTGTGATTTCTCTCAGGGTCTAGGGTTCAAGTTTCAATTTAAGGTTAAGGGTTTCGCCTTTGGGCTTCAGGCTCTAGGCTTTCTGTTATTATTATGATGTTTTGGTCTTTTGGTGTTCTGGTTGGTTCGAGTTTGTGCAGGCATGGTTGGCAGCTCGGGACTTCTTCGGTTCTGTCAAGAACCGCAAGTGCTGGCAGTGCTCGGCACCTTTGCAGCGGGAGAAGAACGTCCAGTATCTGCGGTGCCCCTCCAAGTCTTGTCCGGCTCACCGTCCACGCTCTTTGGCAAGCTCTGTCTTTTGCACGCTTTTCACTTTAGGCTTTGAGGTTTGGGGTTCCTGCTTCTTTCCTCCCTTGGTCTAGGGAAACAACGCTTCAGGAGTTCATTGGAAGCTGGCATACACACCATGCTGGTCCTTTGTCTCTGCCGGTCAGAAGCTGGACTGCAAGGGAACCTTGCTGGCCATGTACACGTTCTCCATGCGTGTGCCGCAAGATGCCGCTCCTTTGCTCGTGGGTCGGCATCACAACTTCATCGACATCCTCTACAAGAGGCTTCGCCACGCCTGCGCCTGGCGACAGATGGAGATCAACGACTCCGTTCAGTTTCAGCCTGGTGTGGTGGAGTGGGATGGCATGCGGTCCACAGGAAAGCGGGACAAGCAGCATGGCACTGCTCAACACCTGGGACGCTTCCTGGTGGGGTGTCACAGGCACATGAATCCTCGTGGTCCTTAGCCCAAACGATAAACCTTAAGCCCTGAATCCTAGACCTTAAACCCCAAAACCCTAAACTCTTAACCCTAAACCACCGAAGCCACACATGCGCATGCAGGGAGAAGCCGCAGTACGTGCTCTATCCTCTGCCGGATCGCGTGACCAAGTGTGGTGCACCAGGCTGGGTCTTTTCTTGCCTGTTGCGACTCAGGGCGTCCTTTAGGCCTTCGGATTGAGGCTGCAGCTCCTTCGCTTTCGCGTTCTGGCTCCCGAAAACACCAACCCTGAAGCATGCTGCTCTGCTTGATGAAGCTGTCACGGCTCTGTGCTCTTGAAGCTACACGCGAATCCGCTTAGGCTGTTACCATAGCACCTGCAGCCATGTCACTCGTGGTCTCGGACGATTTCGTTTTGGCTCTGGGTGCTGCCATGCTTACGGCGCTGGAGTTGACGTATCCACATCTCGGACAGAGGAAGCAATGGCAGGAACTGTGTCTGACACGCATGCTTCGCATCACCATGTCTTGCTATGAGTTGCGAAGGTTTCTTGGGCCGGAGCAGACAAGGAAGGAGCTGCACGCGCTCACTTTGGCGGCCTCCGTGCTGGCTTGTGTCCAGGCAACTGACCTCCAGGACCGTGTCATAGGTCTCGGCAACTGCTCTTTGCCATCCGTGGTGCAGATGCCGCATCATACCAGCTTTCGTGAGCAGGTGCGGCTTTGGGCAGCTCATGCCTGGAGAGTGGAGCTAGAGATGTTGTCTCGAGAGATTTCTGCTGTTCTGAGTGACATCGCTCGCGACCATGCTCTTTTTCAGCACACAGACGGGCTTCGCCGGCTCTTCTTGCCTTGGAGTTCTCTGCTGGACGAGTATAACCTGATGATCATAGGTCTTCTCTGTCAGCCCAATGTGTCTGCTGACTCCCTCTGACGCTGGCCATGCTGCAGAAAAAAACCTGCACTTTGTCGCCTCCTCAAGCCTCGGAAAACCCCAGCCCTTCTTTGAAACGCACCTTCCGCTCTAAGACTGTCTGTACTCTTCAAGTCTACTACTATCGTATACTGTGCCAAGCCGACATAAAACTGCTTGCCCCCTAAACTCTAAACCCTAAACACTCTAAGCCCTAAACCCTAAACCCTCAACCCCTGAACCCTAAACCCCTAAACCCCAAAACCGAAAACCCAGACACTGAAGCCTCCCCCCTGCACCTGAACCGCAAAGCCTTTTTCCTCAAAGCCAACTGCGCAAGCCTGCATCTTCAACTGTTGAGGGTTTAGGCTTTAGGGTTTCGGCTTTTTTAAAGCTTAGAAATGCCGAAAAATGTAAGCCCAAAAAGCCCAAACCGCACAGCCTCACCCCTAAGCCGCGAACCCTGGAGCTTCAAACCTCCGAAAAAACCCGAAAGCCCAAGCCGTGCTGCCCGAGCCCTAAACCGTAAACCCAAAAGTCTTAAAGCCCTCTACCCTAAACCCTAAACCAAGAACCCTCAACCCTAAATCCTGAACCTTAGCCTAAACCCTGAACCCTAAGCCCCCTTCTCCTGCGGTCAGGTCCTCCGGAAAGCTTCGAAGAGGTGCTGCCTCTGCTCTCCTCCAAAGTCAGCCCTGGCAAGCATCTCATTGCTTCCGATCAGGGTAAAGGCCTGGGCAAGGCCTGGGCCAGCATCAAGGTCGAAGCAGCCACAGCGTGTCACTCCAAGAACCACTTCAGTCCGCTCGTCACCCTGTCTAAGAAGAACTTGGGCAAACGAGCACTTGCGGTTCTCAAGGGAAAGAATAGAGCGGTGGTGAAGCCCCGCACTTGTAAAGTTGTAGGCGGAGACCAGCGTGCAGAGGCGCGCGTCGGTGCTGTCAAACGCCAGTTGCGACGCACCAACTTGTTGGGCCGCAGTGCCAAAGACGGTGCACACGTCGACGGGTTGAGCAGCCACTTTTTGCTCGAAAACGTCGGCTTGGCCCCTGTCGTTGCTGCCGTCGCAGCATACCGCGAAGCGGTGCAGGACGTGTTGCCTCCCAAGACTGCTTGGAACGACCGGCAGTGGCTGCAGGTGGGACTCTGCACGTGAGGCCAAAAGGCACAGTTTTGAACTTCAGACTTTCTCGGCAGGAACGGGGTTTTCTTCTTGTCGGGATTCGGAATTCTGCAGTTCTTATCCACGAAGTACATTGCACGCACTTTGCGAAAGTACCGTAAATACCGTTCTAAAACAGCCCCGTGCGCCACTTATGGTGGGCAAACGCACGGGGCGGTACCTAGTACTAGTAGTAGTAGTAGTAGTAGCAGTAGTAGTAGTAGTAGTAGCAGTAGTAGTAGTGGTAGTAGTAGTAGTGGTAGTAGTAGTAGTAGTAGTAGTAGTAGTAATAGGTAGTAGTAGGTGGTAGTAG